AAGCAGAAGGCTTATGTGTTTGAGATCAGCCTGGGATACATAGCAAGTTCTAGGCCAGTCTAATCTATGCATGGAGACAATCACTCAAAAATGTACCATTAATCAACAAGTTGCAAGACAGATGATGCCATTTTCTATCCAAAGCAAATTATTTATCTGAGGTTAAAGTTTTACCATGAAGGCAAGAATACGACTAAAAATTAAATATATGTATAGTTAGACATTCCTTGTCCTGACCACCTGCTGCCAAATACCTGGCAATTGCTTCCTAAATTACCACACAGAGACTTATATTAATTGTAAATGCTCAGCTGATAGCTCAGGTGTTACCAAGACTTGCACTTAAATTAACCCATAATTCTTATCTGGATTTAGCCATGTGGCTTGATACCTTTTCTCAGTATGGCATTCTCACCTTCTTCTCTGCATTTGCCAGTGACTCTCTGACTCTGCACTTCTTTTTCCCAGAATTCTCCTAGTCTGGCTCTCCCACTCAATCTCTTCCTGCACAGCTATCAGCCAATCATCTTTTTATTAGCAAATGAGAGTAATACATGTTCACAGCATACAGAAGGATTATTCCAGAGCAAAATATACATTTAAACACTATGTGTTTCCCTTTATTATGCTTTTAATATATAATGTTATATATCAATTTCCCGGGTATAAAATATTAAAAAAAATCTGATAAGCATATTCACAACTCATCTATGAATTGCTAACAAACCATCATAAGAGAGATACAAACAGTACATGGATTAAAGAAGTTTTCAATCTCAAAGTCAAGACTATGACAGATAGGCAGCTCTGGCCCAGTCAGTGTCTAACAAGTTGTCATGTGCTCTCACTGTTTGCTAAACTTTGTATTTTACCATGTGACAGCTTCAGTGGGCTCAGGTTGTGCTTCATGTCATTTAGTGCTGTTCATTCAGATTGGACACATGGAGACAGGGGTCTTACAGTTAAGTACGTGCTTCTCACAGTATATAAGTTAAGAGCATAGTGACTAAAATGATAAAAATCCTCTGTTAATACAAAAGGTCGTACAGTCCTTAGTTGTTCATCAAAGCCCCCCCCCCATGTCCTGGTGCATTATATTCAGTGGGCTGTAATTAAAAATGGATTATAAACATGCTGGTTGAAAACATTAATTTTATTACTG